ATCTACTTGCCTTCAACATCACTTTCGGAGTCCAGTATACATTTTATTTTCTCAAACTTTTAGATATCTCTTCACTTTCAGTGGTGAAATTAACATATTCAACTTTTGTATGCCATGCTTTGTTGAAGTTATCTAAATAAAAAATAAAACTCATAAGATAATAAAAACGATTTTGTTTGAATAATTATAATAATGAGAAAATATATAGGTACCTATTGGTATGTATAGGCATGTACCTATTATATGAATAAAATTGTTTGACAAACCAGAAATGCTTGCAAATTGAACACAGGGTTCATTATAAGTTGTCCTTAGTAGTAAAAAAAAAAAATGGTGTAGTTTTTTTCAAAAATGTTTTAAAGCACAATTTAGAAAAAAGTCTTACAATTTACAAATTTCCAAACATTATTATCACTGAGGTTGACTCCAAATATTTTTTTTTTGTTAGTAACGGTTTATGGTTATGTACCTAGAGATATAAGTTGGAGAACATTATGTATCACATAACCTTACCGATTTCCCACCAACAATAGTGGTACACCAATCTTCAATATCAGCCCTTTTTTTTTAAAAAATGAATACCTTTTCTTTTATAGTTAATTATTAATACCTAGGTGCATAGTATATACATACGGTACCTACGATGTAATCAGTTATTGGTACTTACATTGTTCTTTGCCGTTCTCCAACAGGCGTATTTTATAAGACGCCCAATCTTCTGACGGAAGTGTTGCATTATGGACAGAGTTTCGCCGGTAACATTAGTATCCGATTTCGGTGGCCACTGTGCGAACAACGTTATTTCACCAATATTATCGGTCGATTGACAAATCCATGTGGTCGGGACAACACCGTGTGTTCTGGATTCAATGAACGGCGCAATTACCCGTGACGCACGTTTCTAAATATTCTACAGAAAATACGAAAGGGCGTTGCAAACAAATTCGTTTGACACGAGTGAAAAAAACGTTAGGAAAATTAAACACTCGCCCGTCTCATCGGCGCCATTCTCTTGGACGTTTCGATCGAATATATAGGCGCACGCATAACGCGTGCACGTAAACGAAATTATTAAGAAGAATATCCAGAATATCAAGCACAACAATTAACGGCATTGAGAATGTTTACGATACGATAATTCGTTGCCGCGGGCGGCTGCACAAAACGCGTTCCAATGCGATAAATGATAATGTCCCGACAAACTGCACGTACGAATGTCCGACGGTGATTATAGGCTGACGGCCTATCACCGGTCAGAGTCCGTCGACGGAATAACACGTGGGCCTGTACACGGACACGCGCGTCGCAGTTACAAAAATATAATACACTTCCTACGGCGTGAAAACCCACCGATAACGTTATCGTTTATTGTTGTTGTTATGTCGCCGCGTTAGTATTAACGTGTGCGCTATGCCCGCGGTATTGCTTTTTTATGACGCGCGGGCGAGCGACATTTGCTCGCGGACGAATTACAAGATGGAAAACGCGTACAGAGTCGTCGGCGGTGATGTCCGTTTCAATATCGCGTCGACGGTGAACAATTGACGTCAATGCAACGCGTTACTCGTAAATAATTAAAACGGTAACAACCGTAACGACATCGCAACGGCAACGTGATCCGGCGACGTTTTCGGTGGCGCGCAAATTCGACGCGGCCCGCAACGGTTTGTGACCGGGTTACTTGATTGTTTTGGGAATCCGGAAGATATAATTATTGATCGATCAGAACTAATTTATCGTTTACGTACCCTACGCGCGCGTGTGTGTGTGTGTGTGTGTTAGCGTTTGTTTTTTTTTTTTTGTCCGATAACATAAACGATTATACTGAAATAATCGTACGATCGTACAAGGTGGGCTGGATAACGGAGCGGGCAATCTTAAAATGTCGAAGTAACGTTCGCAAAAGTAAAAGAAAAATCAAGTCTCGATCAAAATATAAGATGCGGCGTAATCGTGTTAAAGGTCAAAGGACATCGTGTGTCTGGACAAAGGAGGACGCTACTACAGAGGCGACGAAACATTCGACAATGCGCCGAAACGCTAACGGCGGCGGAACAACGCGAGATGGGTCCGACAAACGACGATTAAGCCGCGCCCTTGTATCCGCGTCGTCCAACAGATGCGGTCAACGCCGAAATATTTGAATTTCTAAAAGTCCGCCGGCAGACGACCGTTCGCGCGCGTACGCGCACCGGCGATCGGAAGCCGAATTCGGTCGCATGGTGAAAATTCACCGGCGCCCCGCCCCCCCCTCTTTCACCCCGCGGTATCGCGCGTCGATGTCAACGCGCGGCTTTTGTTTTTCTCGCGGCGTACGGGTGGTACAATCGCGGCGGGAGGGGGGGGGGAGGCGTTTAATATTCGCGTAGTGCGACGGGACGTCGCCGCTATTAACGCGCGGCGGTCGTTATTATTTACGCGTTCGCGTACCGCGGGAAAACTGACGATACGCGAAAAGCCGTTGCCCGCCCGAAGAACGTTCACCGTGTCGCGGCTACCGCGGGCGACACCGACGGTTCAACGACGGTCCGAGAAGCGCCCGTTACGGGAGCGCGTCGTACGCGCGCACGGTTACCTGACGGACGTTTCGAAGGTGGAAGTTTACCCAAGCGTAACTCGTAAATTCCCCCCCCCCACCCACCCGTTTCGCCGATCGACCGCCGTGCGACGTAACGGGCGCGGCGAACGGATTCACGGGGTAATTTTAAAAATTCGGCGCGCGTTACCGATAACGTCCGCCGTATGGCGTCGCCCGGAGTCGCGGGATTCGCGGAGCCGTACCGCGGAAATACTAATCGGTAATCGCTCGCCGCCCCCCCCCCGGCGCGTTACGCCCGAACGGAATAAACGTTACCGTCGCGGCGCCGCTGGTTCGGAATTCGAAC